GAGTGGAGGGTGCTGAGAGCTGGCAAGAGCCGTCAGTAAGGAAAATGCGATTTCGAAGAAAGCGTTTTGCCCAGCCGGTGTTCTTTTCCCTGGAAATTGTCCTGTAGTAGTACCGAAGGTGAAGGAAGGGAGTCTTGTTCAACGGCAGACTCTGTTCGCTGAGCTTTTCATGGAAGCACTACTCTAAACTCCGCCATGCTTTTTAGCCTGACTTTTGGGGTCTCTGATGTAGTGCTGCGTGTCTCCATGCAGTGGCAGAGGTGTCAGAATTGGGAACATGACTTTATGGGACTCTTAGGTTCAATAAGCAGAGCCTTTTCCTTTGGAAACGTTCAGAGTACTGTAAAAATACCGTTGATGTGAAAAAGGAATGTAATGGAATAGAAAAGTGTATTCTCTTACATTGGAGAAGGCAAGTAGCAAAGCAGCTCTGAAAATGCAGCATGAGCACTTGATCTGAATGAAGAGAAAGTGCAGCCACAGGGAATTAAGAAACAATGTGGAAACAATTGATTTAATTCAAGGATAAGAGATTTTAAGGTAATGGTTTGATGAGGTACTGTTATTTCCTAGCAAATGGGCTAAGCTCTGCTGGGGCTGACCTTGGACATTAAAACACAAGAAAACAACTGATGTTTCCCAGAATTGTGTAACCAAAATGTTCTTTTTCGGTAGTGCTATTACATACTTGGATTTATGGCCACTTACCTGCAATTCCAGCTTTTACAGAAGTCATATTTAACTTTATTGAAAGGCATGTATCTTCTGCATCTTGGAGCAGAAATGATGACTGTGGCACTTCAGTTTGCACTGCCAGGCTTCTAATTAAAGAAGCGTAACTGATACAGATTATTGCTATGGATGACTGAGTTTGATCCCTTCTCCTTAGAAGAGCAATCTGGGGAAATTCTAATCTATGTTTGTGAACCCATTTTCTTCTTTCTCATCAATTCTGGGTTGCCAAGCAGATGTCTTTTGTTTATCATTTATAATTTAAAAATTAAAATGGAATATTCTCACATACACTTATTGATAAGCATTCCTTTTGTGTACATTCCCACTCCCCCATTGATAACTTGCATTGCAGAGGGGTTTTTTGTTTCTTTTCTTTTTTTTTCTGTCAATGTGGAGGTAACAATTAAATAGGTAGATGAAGGACTTTGGAAAAGTATGCAAAACTTGGGTCGATTGGAAACAGTTAACTTCCATTCTCATCTTCCATTCAAATGTAATTATCTTTTTGTGTCTTCTGTTACTGTTGTGTAATCAAAGTCCTGGGAGGGAGAAGAAGCAGGGGAAGGAGAGGAGTGAAAAGTAGGAGGATACCAGATTTTTCTTGTCAGCTCCACTCTGCTCTATTACTTTCATAACTGGGATTAGAATAAATCCTCAAGGATTAAAGTAGGGTAATGTGTCTGTATAAACAGAACACCTTGGAATTTTGAAAGCGTGCATAGCAAGTGAAACTAAGAAATTATGTGATGAGGCGATTTCCCTAAAGCTTTGTGGTGTGTGGAAACAGGTGCAATTGTCTTGATTATCTTTTCGTGGGTGACTGCAATAAGACAGGTTTATTTTATGGAATTTTTTAAACCCATGCATACTTTAATATCGATTGAACCACTACTGGAGGCAAGTCTCAGGTTTTTTCCTACAATCTCTCTAGAAAGCTCTGCTTCATTTGGTCAGGTCTGTGAAAGAGGTATTTGTTTGCTTCATGATACTAAAACTTGTAAAATGCGTGTTACTTTTTTCCCTGATATGTATCAGAATGGAATGAGTTTCTACTGCATAAAGTGGAGTTAATAATCTTTTGCATTAGGTAGCAAAATAGTAATTCATGGCAATTAAATAGGAAGACAGGTGTGCCATGGTTTTATGTTTCAGAATATAGACCTGTGGCCATAATTTCAAAGTTAAAAATAAATTTCTGAACAACTTTGTGAATAAGGGCAGATTCTGAAAACAAAAGTTATTTTAAATACTCAGTATATCAGTTTAAGGGAAAAAAAAAAGACATGTTGTCTTTTTCCTGCTACCACAGAAAAATACAGGGGAAGTAACTGAGATGACTGCAGCAGAGCAAGGCAGACAAAATTTAAGGAACACAAAGTATAGAAGCAGAGGAACCTGCATTTTCTTGTTCTGTGTTTTATGGAGCAACTTACTTCTGCTGGAGCTTTTTGCTGATATCTTTGTGGATTCTAGAGGTTGTTTTGTAAAACAACACATGAATTTAAGGTGATGAACACGAGCCACACCGATGCCAGGCTTTGTTTGCTTAGCAGTCATGCAGCATACTGCACTGTTCTGGCTGAAATCACTTTTGCTTGATGCAAAATGCACCAGTTTTGCTTAGAGTGTGTGTTCATATAATGGTTTAAAATGCTGACTTCCATGCTTGGGCAGGGATGGGGGCTATCTATGCTTGATAACTTTAGGGTTCTGTGCTGTAAAACAAATGCAGACTTTTAGGAATTGTATCTGAATTTTTTGGCTATGGAAGTAGAGACTTGTTAAAAATGAATTCACGCTTACAGAAGGGTAGCAAAAGCAACTGTGCAGGAATGATGAGTCGCAGTGGGGACTCAGGAAGAGTCAAATGAATTCAGACTTGGAAGTGATGTTTCTGATCTGCTAGAGGGAAAGTTAATGGCTTAGGAGAAGCTGTTGCTCATGATGCCATTGTATTTTAAGCTCTTTCTGAAAGAGTTCTGTGTTGTGGGATTTTTAGCTTCCCCACCCCTTCAAGGTTTTGAGACTTTGTTTTCCCCCCTGTTCATGGGTGAAAGTAGTTTCAAATCATGTCTGTAGCTGTTCAGGCTACGGTGGAGATACAGAAAATTCAGAATACTTGAGAAGACTTGCTGTTTACTTGATGAAACTATTTTTAGGTGGCGTCTTTTTAGAAGTTTCTTAAAAACAATCACGCTATTCACAGCTGTTTCTCAGTAATTTATTCTTCTGCAACTTGTAAAAATGTCTTTTTGTGTTGAAATGACAAAAACAATATGCCACATGTTAATTGGCAGATTTAAGGCAGATTTCAGAAGTAGATAGTCTGAGGGTGCTGATATACTTTGTGTTCTATTTCTTAGCAGTGTGTGCTGTGCATTGTTAATTAATCCTTTTTAGCTTGATAGCAAAATATGTTTTCTTTCATAGAGTGAAGATACGCAGCAACAAATTATCAGAGAAACTTTCCATTTAGTATCGAAACGTGACGAAAATGTCTGTAATTTCCTAGAAGGAGGATTGTAAGTATCAAGTTTGAAATAAATGCCCAATACTTATTGGCAAGCAAATATTATTACTGCTGCTTGTAATATAACTGTTTCTACAGTTGTAATGTAAATGCCACGTCGCTTGAGATGTTTTAATACACAATGAATAATACCGTATTGCACCAGGTATACATATTCTTTACTAACTGAAGCATACACATATATATATATGCATATGCATATTGATATATATATGCATGCATATGTATATATAGGGTCAGGTTACAAAATATTTTCATTTCTATTTGAGCAGGCCTCCTACTGCTCAAAGTGAGTTAGGCAATAAAACTAATTTTTTCTAGTGCTTTAACTGACACAGTGCCATATCTAGTGCTATAATTGTTTCATACAGAAGGTGGAGAAGAAGCAGGCAGATGATACCTACCGGTTTTCGTATAATTAAGCTAAAGATTTCTGGTCTCATTTGAACAGGCATTGGCATTTGCCATACCCATTGAGAAAATGAAAATATTTTGTAGCTGGTGCTTTGGCTTGAGCTCCTAAAATTTGAGTGGACAGCCTCTGATAGTAGGATTCCTCAGCCTTTTTATTAGGGTTCACGCTTGCTATATAAACTAGGAAGAAAAAAAAAAAGTAGGTTTCAAATGTGCTAACTAATGCAGTTTCAACGAAGATTTTTTTTATTAATATAGGTAGAGCAAGGTAGGAGGAAAGACAGACTTCTGTCTCTAGAAGACACGCACAAAATAGTCTTTCTTGAATCATCTTCGTTGTTTTTTTAATGTGGTCTTGCTTTAGTTGAAGAGAAGAAATTCTGAAATGGAAAACTGTTTTATTTTGAGCTATTGGTCATCAAGAGTAAATAGTTACAAAGCCACCTTCTAGGAAAAAGGGTCATAATTGATGGAGTAAACTCATGATCTTCAGTCTAAGCATAGAGATTCTCATAGCATGTTAAATATTGTAATTATGGAAATTTCTGGTTACTAACAGTTAGTATGTTAATGCCTAAATTTTCTGTGTGCAGAGTCAATTAAATGCTTAGCTGTACCATGTCAGTGATGATGTCTTTTTCCTGTTAAAGACAATTCCTGATTTTTTTAAAATTTTATTATTTTTTTTAAACTAAAATCATTCTCTTCCAACTACTGATCTGGTGATTCTGTTGTTAGGTTCTTGGAGATGATTTCAAGCTGAAAACATGCTGGCTTGAATTCTGTAAGTGAAAGACAGAAACCATTTGAGCCTTTAAAAAACAAATCACAGCTGTGCAACAAAAAACCCCCAAGAGAACACAATTCTGGCTTTCCTCCTACTGCTCAATTCTGAGTTACCATTTCAATATTTTTTTTCAGTATTTTTTTTTTCAGGACGAGGATCATTTCATAGTTTGTAGTTTACCTAAAGGCCTCAACAGTTTACATATACTAACTCTGTGTCCTGAAGTATTTGAAAGAATTGGGTAAATAAAGCACAAAAGAGGAAACTTTGCCATTTCTTTCCACTTTCACGTTTGTAATATTTTTGTTTGATACTTCTTAAAAGTAGTTCCTGCTCTTTAGGAACAAAAGGTTTCCCCTCCCCCCACCCAAGCATTAATGCAAAGCAATGTGCTTAAACAAAAGTGATCTAAAAGATTTCTTGTTCTTTTTATTTATTCATGTGTTCCTTCTCTATGATGAAGGCAGAAACTAAAGGGATGAGTTACAATACACCAAACAGGTGATCATCAAACAGGTGTAGGGAGACCTTATTGTGGCCTTTCAGTACTTAAAGGGGGCCTATAGGAAAGATGGGGACAATCTTTTTAGCAAGGCCTGTTGTGACAGGACAAGGAATAATGGATTTAAACTAAAGAAGAATAGATTTAGACTAGATATAAGGAAGAAATTTTTTACAGTGAGGGTGGTGAAGCACTGGAACAGGTTGCCCAGAGAGGCAGTGGAGGCCCCATCCCTAGAAACATTCCAGGTCAGGTTGGACGGGGCTCTGAGCAACCTGATCTGGTTAAAGCTGTCCCTGCTCACTGCAGGGGGTTGGGCTAGATGACCTCTAAAGGTCCCTTCCAACCCAAAGCATTCTATGATTCTATGATTCAGTTCTGGTACAGAATTAAGGGAGAATTATGATGTTCATAGCCATGTAAGTTCAGGCTACAAAATATTTTCCTTTCTATTGGAGCGGGCCTCCTACTGCTCAAAGCGAATGTCAGTGATCTGGAGAACATCTTTTCTTATGATTTATGTACCTTCTTTGGGAAGGCTTTAGCAGAAGAGTGGAAGGAAATAGGTGTTTAGATCTCTTCCCTTCTTGTTCAGTAACTTGATGATTAGTGAGTCCATAAAAATTTAATTGCTTCTGTGACTTTAACATTGCATCACAAACTATTGGTAGTACTACGGTCTTACTTCTCAAGTTATCAAACATTTTGTAGCACAAAAGTGTTACATGTTCTTGGTTATTAAGTGGACCATAAACCCAATTTAAGGCTTTTTCTGTAACCCAAATGCCACTCTGCATTATAGTTTTATTTTTCTGTTGACGCTGCTCTGAGAGGGGCAGGGAAGGATTCATAGGCATACAGTCTGTTAATCTATAAAGGAGATTAATCCTTGTACAGTGCCCACTAGTGTGTCATGGAAGTACATTTAATGCCCATTTTTTGGTGAGACTGCGTTATCTGTTTGAATTGATTTTAATAAAAAGGTGCATATGTTGATATAGTTACTATCCATATGGATAGCAATAACTGTGCTTGTGTGGTAAGCGTAACTTGGGCTGTCTGGGTACTTGGTATTCTTCCGTTGTAATTGTGTCACAAAATAAAAGTTGTGATATAGTTGGATTTGGGAAAGCTCCATCCAGCCATTAACAATAGTCCTCCTGTTAACTGAAATAACTGTAAGGATTTGCCCAGCTTATCCTGAGATGCTAACTAAGCTTTCCTGTTTTATTTTCTGTCTAGATTAATAGGTGGATCTGATAACAAACTAATTTACCGACACTATGCCACCTTGTATTTTGTCTTCTGTGTGGATTCTTCAGAAAGTGAGCTTGGCATTTTAGACCTCATACAAGTAAGTATTTTTGCTGCTTTCGTTTTTTAATGAGTGGAATTCTACTTCTAAGTACCTTAGAACTTCAATATTTAGCTTTGTCTTTTTCTGTAATACTTGGAAGTGAAGGTGGCTTTCATACTGGGAACACGCCCAAAGTGCTGAGTGGTACTTCTAGATTACTTGCAGTTTTCTGGACTGTCTTTGAAAAAGTTGTTTCCAAAGTTGATGAGAAAGGAAACTGTTTGGAACCTACTGAACACTCAGCAGGTATTTTTTGCTGCAGCTTTTCAAGGCCTTGTTTTGGCTGCAGGTAAAAATGGTGCAGTTCAAACATTCACTAGACTAGATTATGAGAACCTTGATACATAAAACTCTGTGTATGTGTGTATATACACCCACAGGCACACACATGTGTGTGTATATATATATGTATTCATTACAAATATATAATGGATTAATGCATCCAGAATCTCTTTGGATGAAATTTACCTTGTGGCTTAGCTTTTGGTCATATCTACCTTAGAAAATGAATGCAAATGCTGCCCTAGGCATGTGTTCTGCACTGGGAGTGGTGGAGGGGGAGAGGTGAGGAGAAAGAGAGCTGCTACAGGTTCTTTCTGGATCTCAATAAGAAAGGCTCAATGACAAAATGGCTTAAGACAACTGGTTTAATAAAACAGAATAAGAGGAGGAGTGTAGATAGTAAATCTTACATCCCTTCAAATGCTGGGCATCCCATGTTCATGCAGCTTCCAGTGGAGCCCAGGTGGATTTTCCCGTGGTGTGCTGTGCAGAGCAGATCCTGTCCATGGATAGAAGCTCTCCCTTTTTTGGACCTTGGAGCTATTATATAATTTCCTCACAAGAAAACAGCTCTATTCCTAATGTATGTTCTCATGAGAACTTCTTGCTGCACTTCAAGGTACAGGCAAGGCCATGCAGGTGGTGTAATCACCGGCACCAAGTGGGAGCTGGCTGCATGCTTCTCTGTTACAGTGAGCTGGCTGATTTTATCCTGCAGCCAAGGAATTTGTGCAGCACAGCACAGGCCTATGCCTATTGAGGCTAAGTGTTACATGGATCACTGACTCCTAAACATGCAGTGGTCTCTTGCTCAGGATCAATACAGTCCACTTCTTGATCTACCTACAGTTTACCTTTCCCAAAGACATTATAAGTTACAGATTACATTAATAAGATACAGGCTGCTTAAGCCAAATAGAGCAGACATGGCCTGTTCAAGATCATTTAACTCTTCAAATACAATGTCTTCTGCAAGGCTCCCAATACAGCATGTATAATTTAAACTCTTAAATATGTCTTTGTCAACTCAGCAACAAAAATCATGTCTGCTAATACGAACACTCTTATGTCAAAAGAACTCTGACTGTACCAGTGATTTTTTCAATTTAAAATTTGCACATAAACAATTTCACTGATGATTGTTAGTGTAAAGGCCAAAAGTAGTTTCACACACCGTGAATTGATGTATGTCATTACGTAAAATGGGTCTTGGAGATATATATATATATATATGTATGATTCACTTGCTGTTAAGCCTCTCAAAAGCTTGCATATCAAGAGAATTGATTTATTACTTAAGTAAAATCGGTGGTATCCTGAGACATGGGCCTGTATCTATTGATTATTTCATTGCAGAAAGCACTGTGAGCATAAAGGACTCACAATTACCTGCAGACCTTTCTTGGAACTGAATTGCTTCTTGTAGTTGCTTATTAGTGTCCAGAGCAGCTCTTCTGTGCTTAGTGCTCTTCTGGACAGCAGATCCAAATTGTCTTGCTGAGTGGCTGTGTGGGTAGCAGGGAAGGAGACTCTTCTTCTAGAATCTTCTATTGTCTTTGGTCATAGAAACATTCTGCTGTATCTGAACAGTGCAAGTTACTGAGTGAGGTGTACAATGACCTTACTTGTTCTTAGCAGTTTGCTGTACAGAGTTGCTTAGCTGCTCATTGCATAGTGTGTCTTCTTACTTGGAAGTGCTAAAATATTTACGAACCGAGAAAAGAAGCATGTCAATATTTCATGTGACTTAGAGATGTTTTTCAGATAAAGTGGATAATATAAATATCTTATGTTTAACCAGATAATCAGGATAGGAAAGACTATCTAGGTCAATCAGTCTGACCTGTTATGTTTTGCAGGGCCACTATGCAAGTTCAACTAAGATTTAATTCATTATGGTATGTTAAAAATGTCACATCAGTAGCTTCCAGTTATTTCCATTTTTTTCCTGTTACACTGTGTAGCCTAAATTTTACTTTAAGGTGTTGAAGCAATGGTTGAGCTTACTACTACCTGTATTTGTGTAGCCCTCAATCTCTCTGAATCAGGGAGATCTTAAACTTTTCTTTAAATTGTGTTGCTTCTTGTGTCAGAAGTACTTTCATGGATTTCAATCTCTCAGTCTTTATATTTCACACCTTTTCCATTACGCCCTGGTGTTTAATTACATGCCAGTATAATTATTTGAAGGAAGCAGAAATCATAGAAATGCTATTTCTATTTATAGAAATACTTTACTTTTTTCTGAACTGTATGAATTTGTTTATAAATACAGTCTCACCACAATACCTGCAGCTGTTCAGTATTCCCATTTCTCTAGATCATTCTAATTCAACCATTTGATTATAGTAAAAAATATACAGAGATTAATTAAACATTTTTGATTTCCGGTCTGGCTCACAAGAAGGATCTGTTTAATCTTCTTAGCAATAGCAATCAGAATTAAATGTATCTCACAACTGGAAAAGCGCCCTCAGAAACTTCTATTATTACACCTCAGCCCCACTGCAATGCAGACTGGCAGCATATACACATCTACTCAAGCAAATAAGCTTTGTCTGGTTTTTGTTGACAAGTATTGAACCATTTTTGTACATCTTTGTTTACTATAGTTCAGAGACAACACAGGTAAGAGTAAGCCATCAGGAGTTTGTTATGAATCGTACATATACCGAATTGTTTAAATAAGTAGTTACATAGAGGGCCAGTTTATGATCTCATAAAAATAAACTGGTTTAATGAACCTAGAACTCAGTCTAGCACTTAGAAGTTTTCTGTCTTGTAAACTGAATAAATCTATACTAGATTAGATTACACATGGCAGTCTGCAGTTCTTTTCAGCATAAAGTTTTTATTGTAATACTTAAGATACTTCTATGAAGGCCACTTATATCACCATTAGCTCAGAGCTGTTTCACAGGTAAGTCATCTTCGCTCGGGCTTAATGAATGGACTGTATGCGTTACAAATCGTAGACTGTGTCAGATTTTATACTGTGTCCAAACTAGATGTGTTTGAACGCCTCAGGCAAATTCATACTGTTAATTTTTGTCCATTTTCTCTCTCTTTTTTTTAATACAAACACAAGATTCTGTTCATTGGTTTTGATTAATTGGATGGGAGATAGGTCAGCATCTGCGCTATGCTTGGTAGGTTTTGCAGTCTTTTGGATTCAGTGTAAATGATGTCACAGGTTGTAGCTATTTTGGACTTTTCTTGTTAGCCTGTGAAGTGTAAGGTTATAGCGCATGGAAATAAAGTACATAAGAAAATATAACTAGCTGTAGACTGCCATGAGGAAAAATTGAGTGACATTTACAATGGTACCTAACTATCTTATGGACCTAGAAGCCTATGTCAGCTCTAAGCATTTTTGAGGATTTTAGCCCATTGCTGTACTTCCAAGACATGTTGACTCAGTAGGCAGCTAAATCTGTGACACCAGTCTTCCATGAAAAGTTGTATATACCTTGCAAGATAATATTGTTCAGTAAGATGTGTATGGGGAATGTAGTGCAGTTCATGAAAGATGTTTTTCTCAGTTCTTAAAGATAAATCATCCTGACCAGAGATGCTTTTATGCTAATTAAATAAAAAAGGGAGAGACATAAAACTGGGATACCTATTTTGGCAGAAAAATATCTAACTAGTTCTGAGTTATCTCTATTAGTTTATTTTAAGGTTGGGTGGAAACTAAAGGGCAGGAATTAAGGACAGAAAGAACATTTTGACGTAAAAAGCCTTGTTGGTAGGTCTGCTTGAAAGACGTAACACACTTCTGTTTTGACTAATCAGCAGGACTTGTACAGTCTTTACACTGTAATCTTGGCATTGTCTGTATGATCTATGAGTAGTTTTTAAAAAAAATTATTGAAAAAAAACTGGGATGTCAGTATAAGTGTGGGAAAATGCAGCGGCTGCTCCAAGGGTTTCCCAGTTAGAAGGCTGTGGAAACACTGTAGTTGATTTCCTGTGCTTGTAATGATAACGTGAACAATGACTTACTAAAGGTCAGTCTTAAAACAGAGGAGAAACCAGTCTTGTGTGTGGAGAGCTGGCTGTATGATCAGACTATTACATTCTAAACTAGTTGGAGTCTCAAGTAGCATTTGAACAGTCAAAAGCAGTAAAGGAGAGGACTCTCCATGGGCAGGTTGAATTAATTCTGTCTTAAGGTTTAGCACTGCTGTTTAGCCTAGGAAGAAGGATGGGATATTCTTGATATGAGTTACTCCTGTTGTTTATACTTCACTTTTTGTACCTGATTTTGTTAGTACTTGACATTATCTAGCATCAGATGCCTTTAATTGATTAGATATTCTGATTTTTCTGCTAGCTTTGTTATCTTCCCAATATTAATGTATGTTTTAATTCCTTTGTTGTCTTATTTGCCTAATTAAAAATGAGCCCTTCATGGTAAAGGTGGTGTTTTATATTTTGGCGTATTGCTGAGTATAGGGAGCTCCTGGCCTCCTGGCCTGTATATATCCAATAATACTTTGGTATTTTGATTTATATACTTTACTCTCCAGATGTGTATCTGGCTTTATTAAAGCATATTTACTACAAAAGAAAGGTGTGGTGTTTTTCCCTTTTTTTTGTTTTCCTTTTTTCTGTTTACTTGCATGGAGATGTACATGGGTTTTTCTTTGAACTGTAAAAGATTATGATTTCAAAAATGAAGCACAAGGGGGAGCTAGTAATTCATTGTGCATGCATCCTTATTTTCCTGCTATTTGACTCATTTATGTCTGTTTCTTTTCCAATAACATCACAAGGTACATTTGAACTGATGTGTAGTGTGTGTGTGTCCTGAAACAACTGGTGTGTTTTCTCTTCTGGTTATTTTGATCTACAAGTCTGCAGCATCTGAAGTAATTACTGAAGTACTTATATTCTAGCACTGCTTGCCATAGTGTGCAATTCATTTGACTCTCAGCTAAAATTACCATGAAAGTGGCTCTAATTTTATTTACCATATTGATTATTTGAAGACATCTTAAAATAGGTCAAGGAATGTTAGTGTAAAAAATCTAGTTTACCTTGTAGACCAGTTATTCATAATAAATGTGTGCCTTGTCAGTGCTGGTGTTACTCTGAGTGAACTCTCCATCATGAATGGAAGATTGGGGAAGTTGCTAAAGGTTCCATGAGAAATCCTTAGCCAGAGAACAGTGTCCCTGAAGAATACTCGGTGCCAGCTGATTTTCCTCAGATTAAAAAATATTTGGTATGCATTATCGGTCACACATTGCAAGCAGGGATCTGCGAGTTCATTTGGTGTGCGGTGTTGTCACTATGTAATGGGTAGATATTTAAAAGTAACCATTGTAACTATGTGTCAAGTGTTGTTACAAGAGAAGACCTAGTTACTGGAAGAAGGTCACAAAAATAAAACTTCTGTGTTGTCAGTGTGCAGGCATACATACTGCTACTAAATACATGTATGTATGGGGGACTTTTTGAGGATTTTTGCGTTGAGGATTCAAAAGAAAAATTATTTTTCACATGCTCCTTTGTTTCCCAAGGAACTAGATGGATGTCAAAGTCAGAAAATGTAAATTCATGTGTGAACTTGGTGATGTATATGAGGAATATTTTCTTTCTTTCAAAAATAGTGTCAAACTGTTAGCCTTTGTAACTAAAACCTTTGGATAAAGGTTTCGTTTACACTCTTCTTTCCAATCTTCTTCCTGCAGCTAATACCAAACAGCACTGTCCTTGTAACCACATTCTCCTAAGGTACAAGGAAAGTAAGAGAACATCTCTGGTCATTTGTCTTGCTGCACATAGTTGTGAACTGTGTAGTTTGTTCTGCTTAACATACAAGGTTTTTTTTGTTTGCTTGCATCCCTTCTTTATAGAAGACTGTTACTATCACAACAAATTAACAACTACTTGAAGAAAAAAAAATCTGCTTTGCTTAGCTTGAGTATAATTTAACAGAAGCATATTCATTTACTTCGTTAACTGTTTTCAGTGGACCTTACTGTTTTGAGTCTGCCTGTGAAAATGCTCTGTTCTAGTTTAAGTTGTGAATTGGTATTTTGGTGTTAAAGAATAATCCTTGTTCTAAATGCATGGAACATCAGTTAGATGTAGTTTGACTTTAAAATGCAGATGGATAATAGTAGTAATAGCAACAGCAGAGTGTGATCCTCTTCTCTTTCACAGTATAAGCAGGATCTGAGACCGGGGATTCAGATGTAAAAGTAATCTTTCTTGATATGCAAGGTAGACAACTGGAAATGGCTGATGTCAAGTAGACCTGTTGCACTGGCTCTGTAGGCATAAATACGTGTCTGTAGAAGCAGGCCTTTTATCCACTCTATTTTTGACAGCAGAACATGGCTTCTCATTCCTATTTCTCTGGGCCTAGGCAGTTTGAAGTCTGATTCAAAGACTAAGATGGGATTTATAAACCATATTGAAAAGAGAGGTCATCAAAACCAGGTGTTTAACTTCTTCCATATTGCTGCTTTGGGGTTTGAGTTTAGAATTTAAAAAAAAAAAAAAATTACATATAGTGACACCTTAATAAATAATATTAATTGTATATTGTGGCAAAATGGCCTTGAAACATATAAAACTGAGATTAAATTTTCCTACAAGTTGCAGCTTATTTACTAGTCACTAATGATCTGTAAATTCTTACAGAAATTCTTTTAAATTTTGAGGACCCTAAGCTCTCAAACTCAAGCCTATGTTTAGCTTAGAGGTCTTGACACATCTCATCAGTCAGTAGGAGTTACCCTTGCGTAAAGGGAACTGTGCTTATACCTCTGTAAGACTGGGGTCTTTGTCAGCACTCACCGCAAGCACATGGTGATTGGCATTCAGGAGCTTTGGGAGTACAAGTACAGTCCTCTTTTCATTATCTGGCCTAACTGGGGACTGGGATGCTCTTAATGTGCCAAAACTGGCTAACATGAGTACCAAGGAATCTGTTACAGAAGTACCCAGAGCAGGGTAACGTACAGTCCGTATCTGGCAGAGATCATCAGTGGCTGGACTTCAGCAGCTGCTTGGATTTTTCTGCTTTGTGCACTTACATTCTAGATTCAGGGAGGGGTTATTTGCCTGGCTACAAACTGCTGGGCTTTTCTAAATTTATGTGGTGGTATGCCTGACAAGATCAGCAGGTGTGACATTAAGACATCTACCTTTTTCCTTGGTCAGTCCTCAGTTCGGCAGGTCTAAAGCAGGTGAAAGTTGCGGTACTGTTGCTGGAAGCTGTAATGCTGACAAACTTGCATGATGCTGACAGTTTGCATTGCACATGTATCTGTGTGGCAAAGTTAACAGTAATCTGGTTAACTGGGAGATGCCTGCAATGTAGTAATTGTTAAAAATAATAATAATGAAAAAACTAGCTGGTTTTTGCTTAATAATTGGGTTCTAATGAAATGGAAAGGAGCACTTTGAATCACAGCTGAGAAAACTGCAGTATAGATGATGTTACTATTTTTTTAAGATGAAACTATTGTCTAAAACTGTGACTTTCAGCACAGTTATAAACTGACTTGTGCATACAGTTTTGCCCTCTGCAGATAACATACTGTTGACATAATAATGTTAACCGTGTAATTTCTATAGATGCTTTCAATGCCTTAAAATCTGCCCCAGTGTTTATTTTCTGTATTTGCTTTTGTTAAATCTCACACCTAATGAAACTATTGAGTTTCTGTTAAAACTTGACCTCTGGCTTTTTTTTCCTCTTTGCAGGTATTTGTGGAGACACTAGACAAATGTTTTGAAAATGTCTGTGAACTGGATTTAATTTTCCATGTAGACAAGGTACTGTGATGAGCTCCTGTAATATTTCTTGTCAAGTAAAATGTTTGGTTCAATGGATACTTGGTATTAAACTCTGCAGTGATTCTACTTTTATTGTCAGTGAAACCTAGACAGTTTCTATCAACATACTGTTTTTAGGACTTGAAAGCTATGGTGGAACATGTCTTTTTGAGGAAAAATAAAATGTGGGAGATTTACATAGTGGTGTTGCACATATAATTGTCAAATTGGAGACATCTGAATATTCTCAGAGTAAGACTTAGTTTCGAGAAATAATTTGTTCTGTTTTGCTTATAGCTAGGTGTTATATTACTCAAAACTGAAATTGTTATGGGTTTTTCCAGTTAAGGCTGCCAGCTGCCTTTCAAATGCTATGGTTATGTAATTTAAATGCTGTGTGGATCTTTCTTTTCTAAATCTCAGACATTATGTCTTTTTTCCAACATTTAGAAACAATCTTGTTTGACTATTCCCAGCTATCAGGAACAACTGTTTTATTTACTAATCTAGTTTTGAGAAGTGCTATTACTATAGTAATCTTTCATTTAAAAGGACTTTGGCACCTCTTGGTCTAATACCTAAAATGGTAACAATTGAATGTACAGAATTTATCTCTTCAGTTGCATTTTGTGCCTGCCGTTGCTTACTATGCAGTCACCTTTCTCCCATCAGTGAATTTTGCATCAACAGCAAAAGATGCAAAAGGAAAATAAGACAAAAATCACTAAAAGTGGACTAAAAATAGTAACAAGTTAAATAAATTAAATAACCATTTGGAACTGACTCTGTTTGTTTCAAAATCAGGAAGTTCTTTTGGAAGAAACACTTGTACCTTGACCAGACAGTGAAATGCAAAAGACCTTGAGTAGATGTTTGAACTGATACCATGATCATGACAAGTCATTAAGATCTCTAGCCTGGCTGGAACACACAGCTGTTTCCAGAGTGGCAGATTAAAGTACAAAAAAATTTGAGTGGTTTATATATTGGCTTCTGAGCTTAAACAACCCAAATACTGCAATCTTTTTGTGGCAAGGAGTTTGATCTTTATCTTTAGCTGCAGAATACTTTGGCTGCTATGCAGTCTAAGCTGTTGCTCTGAAGCCTGGTGGATGATGGAAAGGCTGTGGATGTCATTTACCTGGACTTTAGCAAAGCCTTTGACACAGTCTCCCATAATATTCTCCTTGGGAAGCTGGCAGCTCATGGCTTGGATGCGCGTAGCCTTTGCTGGGTAAAAAAACTGGATGGGTGGCAGAGCCCAGAGAGTAGTGGTGAATGGAGTCAAGTCCAGTTGG